TACTAATTAACATTCACTAATCACCTTGCAAAATAAATAAATATATATACATAAATAAATTTATATATTTTTTTATTATATACAGATTTTTATGGGTGCAGGTCTGTGAGACAAAAGAAATTTCTTAAAATTTTTCAAGAAAAAATTTCCTCTATCTCTACTTTATAAAAATTTTCTTTAAATTTTTACTCCTACAATAAAATGCTTACAAAACTTCTCAAGTTTAGAAACAAATTGGCATCCCTAAGTGGTGGCTTCTCTAGAGTGACAATTCGTGACGGCCATGACACAAGCGAAGCCCTTAGAATCTACTCTCTTTGTTATCTGGATCAACACCTTTGACGTGTCATATGATGTGGCAATTTCATTGGGACACGTCACAAAATGGTTCGATCATTCCAATTGCTGGAATCGAAAAAATTTGACGGGTGGGATGCATCCATATCCAATCCTATTGCTTGGTTCTGTTACATTTGAGCCAAATTATTCCAAACCCAAATATATTCGGTTGTATTTGGGCAAATGGATGTGTTTAGTTGCATATTATGGACACCCTTTATTGACCTCAATTACTTAAGACTGATTAACGGTGATGGCAACACGATACCAACTTTGGTCAAACAACTAGGAAAATCCATTGCCGCTGATTAGAAATACTTACCAAATTAGTCTAATATGAGGTCAATGATGCTGATGATGCTAATGAAAGCAAGATCAACAAGAATCTGATTAAGTTGGTACTTATTAATATAAAAATTTTAATTTTAAATTAAAATTAAAGATTTAAGCTTTTATTATACTAAGGAGTTAACCATCAATGTACTAAAAAAATAAAAGCAAGAAAAAATGGTGTGTGCAGGTTAGTGAAGTTGGAAGAAGTCAAGAAAACAGGCACGAGAGGACGTCATGCCCTTATATTTACACGGTATTTATGGAACTAATTTTGTTCATTGCTCTTTCATATTTTTCTTGTTTTCCAATACCATTATTCTTGTTCAACTGGATATTAAAACTTAATATATAATAACTGAACTAAGATGTTGAAAATGAAATTGTAATTAGTAGTACAAAACAGTATTTTATAGACTTGATATGATATTGGACTATAAAATACAAACCATTATATTAAGAGAGATCTTCTAATAATAAAAGAGAGGCCATTCATTCGATGATTGATGTTTTGCAATCCACTAACACCAAATTCTTCACAGTAATATCAAAAATAGATATTCAAATGTTTGAAGAAAATTTAATTAAGTGATTTTTTATAACATAAATATCCAAATCTTTTGATTAAGACTTTTACAATCCACTACTTATATTCCATTTAGTACGTGCTTTTGGTGGTATAGAATCACAATTTATATTGATATGAAATTAATATTGGGTCAGATTTTCTCTTTTACGGATAGCATGACAAACTAGATAAGTGATATGTATTGAAATTTGTCATGTATTTTAAGGATATAAGGAAATAAAATATAAGAAGTTCTATTATTTGATGTAACTTTCATACATTTGCAAGCACTTTATCACGCCTTAAAACAAATTTTGCAGCAAGTAGTACTTATATCCTGCAAATTATTGTACGAGTCTTTCATTTACAAGGCAATAGAATTCAAAGACAGTGTATTTAACCTCCAGGCCTTGGGTTTGGGAGATCCTCTTATTTCCAATTTACCTGGAGAACCTACCTCCTCTGTAATCAAGTTTTGTTTTTTTT